GGTGGGGGTGGAATTACTGATATGAATTAATATGTAACAGTCACTACAGGTCAATTTTTTCAAGTTACAAAACAGAATTTCAAACAGATTGACCTAAAACACAAACCATTTTTAAAATCTGTCTAGGGCTCAACCTCAGCTGAGCAAAAAAAAAGCAAAGAATTTTGTGTTCAAGAAAAGCATCATCAGTTTATAGACAGAGGTATGAGTAACTCCACACATCTACAGCAAAACAGTTCATTCCTATAAGCAATCTGGACACACATTACTAAACACAAGACAGGTTTGTCTTCCTGCTTCTCTATTCGTTTTCTGCTGACAAAAGGTATTAAAGTTTGAAACAATGCACCACTGGGGAACTTCTTTTTAAGCACACTCACTTTTTCTAAAAGATAACACCATTCAATAGCAAAGGTGGCAAATTCTGCAGATTGTACTACAGCAGTCTCAAACTTAGGCTGGGCTTCTTGTCTATAAGACAAAAAACAAACAAGCATTAAAATCAGAAAAGCAAGTTAGATTTTTGGTTTATTTTCAATGTTAAGATTTTTTTTAAATCAGTATTTTTTTTAAATCAATTAAGATGTCACAATGAAGTGAACCAATCTGTTGGATTTAACATACATCACATACATTTAACATACATCATAGATGGTTAAAATGAAGTGGATTTCAAGATATTGCCGATTTTGTTGACTGAAAAACTGAAAAGAGAGAACCAGAAAATCTACAAATGATCCCCTAATTTCAAAGGGTTTATGGTCAGTCTCTTACCCTTGTTCCAGGCACCTTCTCACACAAACTATTCGATGTAAGAGACCTATGTGCAAACTTCCTTCCAGAAACAAGAAGCCTCCTTTCTCCACCTACATATGCTCTCCCCAGAGTTACACAGTGTGCTGTTTTACAAGTACACAGACCTAGACTCCTGATTTCTGCCTTTTCAGGTACTGAGCTTTGAGACAAGGCAGTTTCCAGGGTAACAATATTGTAAACTGTTCATCTCACAATCATAAGCATCCATTTTCTAGATCTGGTGGAAACAACTAAGTTTAACATCTAAGGCAGAATGGATGGGAACAGAACACTAAGCAAACATTGCTTCTGAAAACCTCAGGCTAATGCCTTATACAGGGAATGAAACTCCAACACTAATCGAAGACCTGAGAATGGGTGAGGAAAAAACCAAACCAGTCATGCACACCTAGCTCTAAAACCTCTTTTTTAACTGAGGCATCTCATCCTACTCTAACCAGCACTTTATATAAACCACCAGAAGGACATGAAGCTTCCACCCTCATGGCCAGTTTCCCCAACACTGCAATTTGTAAGTGTAATTACTTCAGGAAAGATTTAAAACCATGGTTTTCTTCTAGGAATTTTGGGGTTCATGGCAACATAGAAAATTTATATTTACACCAATTCACAGCAGACTGATAATGACCTGATTATTCCACTGTTCTATTTGATGGGTCACAAAACTGACGAGTTACAGACTTTTTTTATAATATACTCCAAAGTGAGCAGATTAGAAAACTAAACTGGGAAACCATAAAGTGACAGCTTTGAATTTCTAAATAGGCAAATTAATTCTACTCAAGATGAGCTTGAGGATGGGTTAGGGAGAGTGTATCAAGATTAATCCATCTCAACGTATCGCTCAAGATGAAACACCACCCAAGATGGACTATAGCACATCAGTCTCCCAGCACAGAAGGTTTCTTTTTATGCTGAAACTATTAAAAACTTGCTGAAACAGCGAGTGGATTCATAAATTAATACTATGTTTAGACCCAAATATACTTCATACTACACAAGAACTCTACTCTGCCTTACGATGTCTTCATACGGCCTTGATTAAAAGTGTAAAATTCATCATTGTCCAAAAAAAAAAAAAAAAATCCAGGTTATTTTGAAATAACTTTGAACTTTGTGTTTAAAATAGACAGAAACTAGTGTCAGTTGAGCCAGCGAACACTGCTGTTGTGTGCCAGCTGAATCCTGCTCTCACCTGACAGCTGCTTCTAAGCATATCACCAACAAACCGAAAAAATGTGCACTTTCTCCAGCTTCCACAAGGCTCCCGGGGGTGGGGGAGCAACATTTGCTGAAGATCGAATATCACATCCATCACAGCTACACTAATCAAGTGTGCCTTCCTCAGAAACTTCCCCGCTATTACAAGGATGTTAAAGTGAAATGCTTAAGACACATTACACCTTGCAACGCATTTTAGGTTCTTTGTTCAAACAATTAACGAAATTAAGCCTCGACTGGTATTAGAGTCTGCAATAACGCAACTGGTTAACCTTTAGTAAGTAACTATTTTAAGTAATCCCTAAAGTCGGGGAGGGAAGAAGAATCTGAACAGCACCCAGGGAAGGGAGTAAAATACCTTACACGTAAATACAACGTTACACGTACAACACATATTGGTTTTAACACCTGAAAAGGCGCTAACGCCGAAACCCGGGAAGGGGACAGCTAGCCCGGCCGCTTCCCCGTTAACGGGCTCCACAGCTCCG